ATATTTAACATGTGATCAATGGAAGTATAACGACTGCATCTTAATATAATTCTCATGCTCCTATTTTGGAGTTTTTGAAATTGGGAAAGCCTATTTTGGTTTATTAAATGCATTAAAGTTGGACAGTACTCAAAATGAGGTTTAATTATACAATTATATGTTAATATTCTGGAGTTAATAGTCAAATTATTTGCTATCCTAGAAAAAAAATATAATTTTTTTGAAATTTTTTTTATAACGTATTCAGCATGACTGTTCAAACTCAAAGTGTTATCTACAATAACTCCCAGATACTTTATTTCAGACACATATTCCAAGGTAGTGTTACCAATTTCAATTTTTATTTCATTATAATCAATAGAGTTCAGTTTATATTTAGTTGTTATCACCATAGCTTTTGTTTTATCTGCATTTAAGTTTAATTTATTCATATGTAAATATTTTTCAATGTTCTTCATAGAACCTTTGAGAGCATCTACAGCATCATTGAGTTCTGTATTCGAGGTATAAACTAATGTATCGACTGCAAACAGATTAAGTTCCTGTAGCCCAGGAACATAATAAATATCATTTAGGTATATAATGAATAAAAGTGGGCTAATTACACTTCCCTGGGGAACACCAATGTTGATATCTATATCATCAAATATTTTTGAACCAATTTTTGTTTTCTGTTTTCTTTCACTAAGGTAACTAACCCATAATAATTTAATTTTTTTATCAAAATGTTTCTGTCAATTGTTTCAAATGCGCGCTTGAAGTCAAGAAAGACAGCTACAGTGTATTTATTTTCATCAAACGCATTTTTCCATCTAGAGAAAGTATACTGAATAGCTGATTCACAGGAATGTTTTTTTCTGAATCCTGACTGTTTACCTAAGAATATTTCATTATCATCAAAGTATGCAACTAATTGTTCGTAAACTGCTAGTTCAAGAAGTTTCTCCAAAGTTGGTAGAGTATTAATTGGGCGAAAATCGCTTGCTTCAATTGTATTACTAACCTTTGGTATAGGAATAACCGAAGTTATCTTCAGTTGATCTGGAAATATTCCTTTATCCAGAGATGTATTCACCAGGTTTAACATCACATACCCAAATACCTCGAATGTTTCTTTTAAAAATTTGCTATTTAGTACTTCAGACTTGTTTTTATTGTCTAAGGAATGAATAATCTTCCGCAGTTGAGTCATCGTTAATAGTTTAAATTTGGAAAAAGAACTGTTTATAACTGAATAATTTGTGGATGACCATTCATCAGATTGAGGGATACTCTTAGAGATATTTGAAATACTATTAACAAAGTAATTATTGAAATTCTCAGCTATCTCATGTTCATTTTCACTAATTGTTATTGAATTGTTTTCACGAAAGATGATTTTATTCATTTTACTATTGTTAACCGGATTTATTATTGATTTGAGATGTTTCCACATCTGTCTTGGATTATTACGATTTGCGTCAATTTGTTGTTCATAAAAAAGTATCCTTTTCTTTTTTAACATATTAACATACTGATTTCTAACAATTTTATAGTTTTCCCAGAATTGTTCACGCTGAGGTGAGCTGTAATTATTTTTAAATGTTTTATATATTGTATTTCGTTCCTTAGCTTTATTTTTCAATTCCAAATCATAGTAAGGTAACTTGTTATTTTTTATTGAGATAGTGTGTTCAGGTGCAAGATTATCTATAATTATTTTAGTTTTATCAAATATTTCATTCAAGATTTCGTTAACATCGATTGAATTCAATAGCCATGTTTGATCAATTAGTTCAATATTTATGTTTGAATATGTCTCAGAAGTAATATTTCTAACAATCAGCTTTTTTTCAGGAATATTTATATTAGATTTGAAACAACTGACAGATATCATTGAATGATCAGTTATCTTAGGCGTATGAAAGACAGATGCTTGAACATCGCAACAGTTAGTTACCACATAATCTATCAAGGTTTTTGCGTTTATTGTAATTCTAGTACACTGCGTCACTATTTGAGCAAAACCATACATATTTAACAAATTTTTGATTTTTCTACTATAAAAAGCATTGTTATCTGCATAATTAATATTGAAATCACCCAACAGTATGAAATTATTTTTAAGAAAATAGTTTTCAAATAGTTCCTCCAAACAATCAATAAATATAGCATCACTTGAACTGGGCGAGTGATACAGACCTCCAATCAACCACCTCTTATTTGATATGTTTACTTCAATACATCTCATCCAATAATTTCCAGGAATAATACTGCTCTTTCGAATTCTGTAGTCCACTCCCTCTCTTATAAAAATTAGAATTCCTCCTGTATGTCGACTATCACTGTCACAGCGGACTGCACTATAGTTATTGATTTGTATTTCGAAATCTTCTACATCCTTGGTAACTCTTGATTCACTAAGCACTATTATTGTGGGGTTATAACATACAATATAAGCAATTATTTCAGTTTTATGTGGCAAAAAACTTTCAGTATTTAAATAAATGATGTCTTCATTAAAATTGGGGCAATCATGCACTTCCATACCTTTTCTTGTTGTCAATAGTTTTTTGAAGGAGGACAATCAACTAATGTGGGTATGTTATTTATATATTTTATATATTTATTTTCCCCTCTGTTCTTACTTTCTTCTAACTGTTTCTTTATTTTATTATAATATTCTCTTTGGGCTTTGGTTTGATCGCCAAAGATAGTTGCTTTGTATGTTTTAATTTTATTTTTATTTCGGAGAATTTCTTTAGTTGCTTCTGGCTTTGCCATCACTATTCTTAGTTTAGTTTTCCGTATTGAATTAATGAATTTATGGACATAAACTACTGTGCATAATAATTAATAACTACTGATAGAACAACTGATGTTCAGAAGATTTTTTTGTGCTTCATTAATGCTCACAGTTCGTTGAGCACATTGTTTTTCATCACGCTCCATCGTGATGAATAGAGAAACTCTGGCCCCACAAACCATCTGTCCGTTGCTTTCAATGACGGTCGCTTGGACCACTTTGTAGCTTCATCTGTGACGTTGAGTTAAGATGGAACATAGTGCGAGTTGGAAATCATGGAAATGTCATGAAATTCCGTAACTCTGTGAGCAACAATCTTGCAGTTTTCTTGTATCTTTAGGTCGTATTCAGCTTAAAACACTTTTAGAGTCTCATCAATAAATGGTTTCGTGAATAGTAAAAGGAAGGTGCCTTTTTTAATAGTCGAGGCATGGTTTGGAGTTTAAATAAGTGCTACACGAGTTTTGGAATCAACAAATGAACATTTTGTGTCTTCATTGCAGATCCTAAGATAAGCATCTACAGCGCTAGCGCTTTCACTTGTATCAACAAAAATATAAAGCTGTACATTACAGAACTTCCACATTAAAAAATTGTCAATGTGACATCTTGGAATGGATAGTTTTTATATCTCAGGTGGATAGTTCAACCAAGTCAGTCATTTAGAGAACTGTGAATCTGTAATAGGATCACCCCATGAATAACAGCGCAAATACTGTCGCCATAATCTACATTTAGCAGAGATAGTTTGGCCTTCATGTCCCTCTTTGATACGAAATGGTAGAGCCAAGTCTCAGTTAACCAATCCAAACAATATAATGGGCTTGACATTAGGTAAATTTTTCAGATAAGGATAATCAACGGTGAGTTTTGGGTAAATTTTTCAGATAAGGGTAATCAACGGTGAGTTTTGGGTACATTTTTCAGATAAGGGTGAGTTTGGCCATCTCTAGGGTTTGTTGTGGCAGGCTGAGAGATTTTACTGTTCGTACAGAACGATTATTGAATTGCCTAGCACCCGTAAAATTACCCATGACTTGACGATTCTGTTCACCGGTCCATTATAGACACAAAGGTTCCATTTCTCTTTGTATGTCGAGATCTTTAACGATATCTTCATCTTCATTGACGATCTTTCATCCAAAAAGGCCAACGTTATTACTTCTTGTATCGCCATTCTTGAGGGCGATACAATCCGGGCATATCCGGAAATGAACACTTAATCCAAATCCTTTTACTTAATGAAGAGTTCTGATGATACACGTTGACTTCTGATCTTATCTATGCATTCGATTGGGATGGTGGATTCCGTTGAAAACTTTCAGTTTTTATGAAGAAGTGGATGATGCTTCCATTGGCAGTCATTCTCATTACATTTTACTGGATATTTACAGGGAAATCCATGTCGTTTTAGACACGATCTGCACATTTTCAAGTCTTTGACGACTTTCCATTCATCAGTTATGGAATATTCTTGAAACTTTGAAACTGTTAATATATATCTGCAGGTTTTACTACATACTTTACACTTTAATATTTTGTCATGTGACTGTGTATCATTCCTTACTACAGACTCAGAACTATGAACTTTTGTTTGCTCATTGTTATGATTTTGCTTGGTACGCCCTGCAATGGCTAAGATGGGTAAAGCAGCACATTAGTAGCCAAGTTATACATCCAATCTGTGAAATCATCAGAACATACAATGTAAAGCCCAGTTCACCTTTATTTGTGAAGGAAGCTTATTCAGGAGCTCGTTCATTGCATGGTGTTATTCAGGTATTCAGTAATTTCACTAACTTGTAACACATACATTCGTGACTGCTAAGGCAAACTCAACTAGAGTTTCTGGTTTTTCTTGTTTTGGAGGTGCTTGATGTCTAATGGAATTTATGTAAGTTTTTGCAATCTCAATTAGTTTTCATAATTGTCAAATCCACAAAGCTCTGCAGGTCTTTCAAAACTACAGATGAAAAGAGGCCAATAATAATTTTATTTTTCACTGAAAGGTGGCTATTCACTAGGAGTGGATCGTCGTGCAGCATGTTGGTGTAGTGTGAGTGAAGGATATTCCAAATTCAAAGGTATCTTATTTGTTTGAGTGATATGTTGGATTTTTGGTTTTCTGTTTCCTATGAGAAATATTTTCTATTTCTAAAGATTCCTCATGAACTTTGAAGTCTTCGTTTTCATTTGGTTCCATACCACTTTCTATTTGCAGCGACAACAACTCATTTGCCCAAGGGTCAGCTTTTTCTAACTCTTCATAGTTCAGATCTTGACTATCTTCAAACTTTTCCTCTAGAAGTCTTCGCGATTCTTCAAACAATTCTCGTTCTTTCCTTGATAGTTCTACCTCTACTTGTAGTAATCGCAATTTCAAATTACGTCTACTACTTGTAGACCTACTTTTTGTACTTTTCATACTTTGTAAAGGTATAGACTTTAATGAAGCTTCCGATTTATTGTCTGAGATAGACGGAAAATTCCTGGCATTTTATTTTTGACAGTTCTTGAATCAGTATTACCACAAGGGAAACACCTCCAATGCTGATCTGAACTTACAATTTCTGTGACCCTGACGCATTCGCAGCAAAACCATTTCAAACAATTTGTCATTCGACCATTCCTTCATTGTGTTACAGTCTATTACATATAAGACTATGTATTACAACGCTTGTGTCTCCGAAAAAAAATTATCATTATTTGTGTAGTCTCAAAAAAGTAGAAACCAATATCTTTGAAATCAAAAATACATCAACCCCACACATCTTTTGAAAATTTGTAAGTAGAAGTGAACGCCCATGCATTCCAGTGCTTTTGTATAAATACAGAAAAACTGTTCAGAAGTCAATTTTTATGAAACATAAATGTTCGTTTCTGATATTTTCTGGTAAATAAAAATAGTAGATACAAAATTTAGGAGAGTACTGAAATGAATTGATTTGTTTAACTTGAGCCATGAATGACCAGAATATGTATAATTGTCAAATTTACTGTCAAGTATGTTTATAATCATTCTACATTTGTTTGAAGGTGATTGACAATGTTTCATGATGAATTTCATTAGTTCGGACTTCCATTGTCTAATATAAGTGAAATAAATACAAGTAAAAATAGTACAATTAAACAAAAAATAAAAAATTAAGAGATTCCAAGCCAAGTTACTTCACGACGTTTCGATTGTTAGTATCGGGTACATGTAATTCATCATAATGTACTCCATCATAACATCATTGGTACATTAGTACCAACAGTGTTTCTTCTTCACATCAATAATTTTCCCAACAACTTTTATTGTAGTATTCCAAACAAATATTAAATATTAAATTCAACAAATTTTTCGAGACCAGCAGATTTATTTACATCAAAGTTATACATAGAAAAATCAGTAACATTGGTCTCTAGAAAAATCTAGATTTCCCAGAAATTCAGGTGATTTAGGCATACATCAGATTAAGGTGTTTACAGATGATCTCTTGTAAGTCAATGTGAAGCTAGGCTGATGAGCTCCCAGTTGAACATTGCGTTATGCAGGTAAAGCTAGTGGATGTGTGAATAATTATCAAATGGATCACTGAAAGCCTTCTACGTTGAATTGTTCCATATTTGCAATGATAGACGGACCCTGCAACATAAAAAGATAGAATGCAGCACTCACTACATATCATTCTCTTTTTTACTCAGTTCTAAGATATGGAATAATATCCTAGGGCAGTGCATCAAAATGTCATCTAGAAAAAGTGTTTATCCTTGCCTTCCAATATTTAAAAATCTCAAAATAATGACACTGTATTCAGTCATTGTTTATGAAAACCTACTACATATTCAACTAAATATAAATAATTACACCTATCGTACAGACATACACCATCATGATTCTAGAAATAAATCAGACCTCGTCATTCAAGCAAATAGACTGAAAAGGACTGACAATTTGGCCTTAAGCTATACAATACTCTGCCACTAGACATTCAATAGATTTAAGTACTTTCTGAAGTTTTTCTTAACTGAAATCCTCTGTATGATATCAATGAATTTTATGGAAGTGTCCAATTGAATAGAGATGCCTTCAATGTGGACACCTAAATAATATGAATGTTCCCAGTTGACTAATATGTATGTGTATTGTAATTTAAATCAAATGTTTGTACTGAACTTCTTAATGAGTATGTCTTCATATTTTTTATTTCTCAATTCATGACCACCATTGATTGTGGAATCTTAAGATGTATATAGCCTGATTTTAATTGCGCCATTTGTTTTGACATGTCTATAAACCTTGTGTTTCTCAAGAGGAATAAAGATATTATTATTATTATGAATCAATACCTACACTCTTTATCCCAAGAGGATTATTAATCTGCTCAATTGAAACTCCATAATATATCCATAGTCACAATAGATTTGCACAATTACCTGGAATTTGAATCAGTATCTTCTCGAATTTGCTAAAGATGGCTCTGCTGCATTGGAAAATCCAACTTGAAGGCTTTGTGATGATTGACATTCACTTTTCTGTGTTGAATATCTTAATGAAACATACTTCCTATTTTCATTCAGCAATAGATGGAATCTAAATAAAAATAGAGCATTCTATCATTTAAAAGATGTGTATTGTAAATAGATGGATTAAAATTCTATAGTCTATTTCAAAAGAGTGTAGAGTAATAAAATCTCATTAAGTATTCAAAAGCGCTACAGGGTGATCCGTCAATAAATTCTGTCACTTCCCTAGTCCGCATTGCAAAATTATGTCGTTTCATAAAGAGCAGGTAGGTATCACCCTGTTTTAAGGGATTTGTCCATTGTTATCGACGGATAAATACTGAGCCAGAGGCGCGCTAGT